AACCATATACTAACAAAAATTCGATAATTCCAACAGTTAATCGTGCATCCTCAGATTCTAAAGTTGCGAATTTATCTTCCCATAATATTAGATCATTTAACGACTTCTATAAAAATACCATAATAATCTATGAATATGTTGTGAGAAGCAGGTAACTATAAACAAAAAATAGCTTACCATCCGGCCACATCCATCGCGTAGCAAAATTTGTACTTCTTTATCAATTTTATCCTTATAGAGTTTCTTCCTTGATTCGTTAAACAATTGAACATAATCTGATGTTTTGAGAATCCTATTCCAGTCGACTTTCGTCCAATTTGAAAGATCCACTATTCGGGATTCAATGGACCTGAAATTTTTTAGTGGTAAAGCAGAGAACATATATCATTTGTGAAAAAGTATGTGATCACAAATCACAATAACATACTGCACTCGCAAGTTTTCCTTTTTCAATCGTTCCATTACTTTTATCCATATTTCCTCAAGATTTAAGTTCGAAAGAAGTAAGTCAGATATCTGCAATAGTAATGAGAATTTCAAATATTGTTCAAAAGATGATGTTTCAATAAGCGAACTGTCCTCATTGTATTACCTTATTTACAATAATTTTGTCAATTTCTTCGTCGTCTGCTTCTTGGTCGTAAGCTTGTGCACTACTTGACGTTTGTATAGTTTCGGAAACAATTTGATTGTTATCAGGATTCGTGAGAGCATACTTGAGAAGAGATAAACATATATAAGTAAAGCAAAATATGAATTGTGGACATAATGACATCAACAAACCTCGGCTTCATCTGCTGTTTCTTCAACATTGACAAAACTTTCATGTTCCTTTTTTTCAGAGTCATGTTCGGTAGCTGATGTCGTGACCACATTGCTCACAGAAGATATTTCTGATTGAAAAGCGCTCAACTTCGCGTCAATCATTTGCACCGCGACCTCTGATCCATAGATTGGTTTTCGTGTCAAATAAATTTTCATTTGCCTGTAACTGGTTAGTTTTTTTATATATAAACCAAATAATACATACTAACAAATATTTTTTACCTTTTTGTCCATTTGGTCAAAAAATGCTGTAACTTCTTTGAATTGAAAATATCTTTCTACATTATTAAAAAGCTTTGTAGCTTTCTCTTGGGCTTTTTTGTTCATTGAGTTATGGGTACTTATTAATTGGAGCTGATGTTTTAATTCAGCCATAATTTCTTCACGATGTTCAGACGTCACCCCCGCGCAATTTTTT